TGAAAACAGTAGGTGCTATACTACTGTGAATACTGTATCATTTAATGCAGGGTTGTCAAATTCCCGGCTCGTGGGCCAGATGCGTCACACGTTGGCCACGCCCACGCCTGATTTAGCAAAGGGGTAAAAAGTCCCGATATGTCATGTAATGCCACTGTGATGACATGACTTTGATCCTCCCAATTTAAAACGTACAAATAAGAGTCTATAGATCAGTAAACTTATGTATTCAGTAAAGTTTTCCTGAACATTTTAAAAAGATCGTGCTAAAGACGTTGCTTGAAACTAAATTTCTTATTATTTGAGAAACTGAAATTAGTTATTAAATAAAATTGAAAATGTACAAATATTTTACAAAAAAATATTGTCGGTTTACTGCAATGTTTAAAACTCTTCAGCTCTTGTAAACTTTCTGGCCTCATACAATAAGAACAGAAAAGAAACCATATAGATAAATAATAAACCTGCTTGTTTCTTCTCCATTTCTAAAATAATAACTAACACATGTCCATTGCATAACATTTTAAGGCTGCAATCATATACAGGAACAAGTTCCAGTGAGTTGCATGAAATATACTTATTGGTAAGTGCATATATAGCTTAACAACGTGAACCAAAAATTTTAAAAAATTACATACTAGAAATTCATGATGCGTTTTGTGGATGTATTTATATATTCTCTTATGATGAAGTAGTCGATGCAGGAAATAATGCCAGGTATCATCAATCACAGCACAAACAAAACACTGAGCAAGTATCACAAACCTTTAAAAGAAAATGAGCTTTTGAGATAAATATTTGTGCAATCTATCCAATGACCCATGCTAGAAACCTGACATAACATACACAGAAATTTTAATAAAATACTTTTCCCTCTTGGAGCAATGAGCACAAAAAAATAAATTGTTGTTTGAGAAAGACAGGAAATATAGTAGTTACATATGATTTGGTTTATATTATATTTAAAGCAAACTAACTCTTCAATTTTCATCTTGAATAAATATATCCAATTATTATCTATTATATTTGAATTTGTTTTGTAGAATGAATAAATGTTAAAATGTGGTGAATATTTATAGATTAGCAGACAATTAGGAGTAACAGACACTTCCTCCATGAAACTAAATTAAGGTTTCACTCTCTTTTCATTTTTAATAAACTTGAAATTACTGAACCAAAGAGTCAAAAACATTTTTGGTCAAACTTCTAGAAATTTCTCGCAAACCCAGTCCTTTATCAGCATAATACCAATATTTTGAATGTGTGGAAATATGTATTTTTAACAAACAACTAATGAAAAATAATTGAATAGTGCTTACCATCTTGGCATCGTTTCCCAGTCAAAAGGAATATTAAAATATTCAGTGAAATAATGGGTACCCATTATGAGAGGCAGCTGAATACAAAAGTGATTGAACATAAGTGTTTTGAAACATTTCCATTGTCCTGCCCATGTTTCTGGTCTATCCTATAACAGCATCAAGTAAACAAAATTAAATCGTGTGTATAGGAAACTAACTACATCTTTTCCACAGACTCTCTTCCCAACTACAATGATGCCAACATCATAATAAAACATATATCACAACATGTTCTGGACTTTTCTACTTTGTGGCAATGTCTCCTGCATGAAAAGGTTTTAGGTTATACAATTTTCTCCTTGCCCTTTACCCCAAATAACTATTTATTCAAATTACTGAGATTGGAAAACTACTGCCCATAGTGTTTCTCTTAATTAAAAATATCTTAGGCACGTTTACTTACAAATAGAACTGGCATTATGTTCAATGGTATTTTCTCCATAAGTATGGATAGCTCTGCAGCAAAGTAAGCTGTTTAACTCGAGTTCAAATATTACACTGCAAAATTATTGAAATGAGGTAATTTGGATATGAACCATCAGATTTTTTTTAAACTAGGGAAATGTTGTCTGATTATTTTTGATTTTATTTGTCCTGCACTGAGATGTCCATTAATAATTTCAGGTGAAATTTTTTCTGATGCACTTTAATACAATACAAATATTAGTGAGGATTCCATAAATAATTCACACATTATATAAATTATAAATCAACTGGTATAAATTATTAATCTAGTTAAAGCTCTGATTCAAATAAAGTTTTCTCAGATAACAACTATGTATTTGGCTGCCAGATAAAGGACTGCCCATAATTTCATGGCTTTCATAAAGACTTTAGCCTTCTTCCATCAAATAATGACTTAATTTGAAGACAGATTAAAAACAGGTTTTTCAACAGTGACTAGCTCCAAGCCTGATAGAAAAGCTCTTTGTTCTCATGAATTTAATTTAAGCATCAGAGTTTCAGTTCCTTTTTATTCATTTCTTTCACTACTACCAGGCAGAACTGAGATTTGATACCATTTTTTTTGCAAAAGAACCAATGGACACAAATTTGACATTAGAATACCTTACAATAAGGACAAAGCAGGATGCTATCACGTTAACCTCCCAGGACCCTCTATGGCAGTCCTCCAAGTGACTGTTTTGACTGAGGGGTTTCTGACTCACACACATCCAAAGGTTTCAGGCAATCACAGAAAATCTCAACAAACACAAAGGCTTTTAAGACACTAAATAAGTAATAATATGTAATTTTAAATTGGAATTTATTTTATATGTCATTTGTATCTTTCCTCTCCCTTCAACCTACCTCACTCTGATTTAAATCCTAAATTCAGCCACCCTATGCATCTAAAGAAATGAATTTCAATGACAACGTTTCTGATATTTCACCAAGAGGTTAACACAGCTCGTTTCGATCTTCATAGTGAGAACAGAGAGGTTCAGTCAGGCGGGACTGAAATCTTATCAAGAAACTGGCACAGGAACAGACTTTCTTCTAACCAAATACAAACAACATGTGGTTCCTAAAGTCTGAATAACAGAACAGACTAATAGAATTGGAAGGGACCTTGGAGCTATTCTAGCCCAAGCTCAACCTCACGCTGGAAACCCTATTCCCTTTCAGACAAATGATTGCCCAATCTCTTCTGAAAAACTTCCTGTGTTGGAGCATTCACAACTTCTGGAGGCAAGTTGTTCTACTGGTTAATTGTTCTCACCGTCAGAAACTTTCTCCTTAGTTCTAAGTTGCTTCTCTCCTTGATTAGTTTCCACCCATTATTTCTTGTCCTGCCTTCAGGTGCTTGGGAGAACAGCTTGACTCTCTCTACTTTGTGGCAACCCCTTAGATATTGGAAGATTGCTATCATGTCACCACAGTCCTTTTCAATAAACTCAGCATTCCCAATTCCAGCAACTTTACATGTTTTAGCCTCCAGTCACATCATCATTTTTGTTGCTCTTCTCTGCGCTCTTCCTAGAGTTTCAAGACCTTTTTTCCATTGTGCCGGCCAAAGTTGGATGCAGTATTCCAAGTGTGGTCTTACCAAGGTATGATAAAGTGGTATCAACACTTAACATGAACTTGAATTTATTGCTCTGTTAATGCAGCCTAGGATTGCTTTGGGTTTTTTGACGGCTGTAGCACACTGCTAGCTCATATTTACATGACTGTCCACTAGGACTCCAAGATCCCTTTCAATTCTTTGACTCAAGTCTACAGACTACAGTCAAAGATAATAGCATATTCTACAAGAAACTCTTAAGACTACCTCATCCGCATTTTTTACTACAAAAAGTTAATTATTAATGTCATCTATATTCTAGAACTTCAACTACACCAGAATGTCGCCACAAGAAGATAACAAACCTACACAATACAACACAGGAAACGTGTAGAATCCCATGACATGCTTCCAGATCAAAACCACATTTGTTCTGATCCACTTAACAGAAATGCTTAACTGGTAACTATCCATAGCACAAGATGAATAGAAGAATTGGGCCAGATCAATTCCTGGGGAGCACCTAGTGAAACAGAACAGCATAATACTACCTGGTCGCAGCTCACAGTTCAAACTACTATTATTAAGCTACAGCCCATACTAGACAAAGACACTGCATTATCTCAAGAACTTCTTGCATACAACTACCCAACCTAAACCAATTCTCCAATCAACAGAATCAGTAAAAAAAACACTAATATGGAACCAGATCCTACAATAAACTCACGTCTGTTTTGCTCCATCATCATCACAAGTCACAACAAATACACACACACACACACACACAATTAGAGGTGCCTCCACAGGGTCTTTCTCTCATGTGATTCATGCCATCATCTACCAGGAATGTCCCCTGGACAAATGGAACAAACTTCACACAAGAAATTAATAAACACACATTTGACACCAGAATTCAAAATAAGAAAAAAAAATGATACCATTTCAATCATTTTGGACATTCTATCATATTTCAAAGTGCCCATTTTGGAAAATCAGGACTTTAACTCCATTACAGAATGAGCCGTTGCTGAAATTGCATGGCATTTATTTATTTTTACCAGCACCCCTTTTAAAATTAGCTCAAGACAGCAAACATACTTTAAACTCCTTTCTCCTATTCTCTCCACAACCTGTGAGATGGTTGGGTTGAGAGAGAGGGACAGGCCCAAAGTCGCTTGGATGGATGGATATATCTCTCCAAAGCTTTAGCAATCTCAGAACATCTCAACAAACACAATGTTTTTAACATCATACAAATTCTAACTGATGTAATAGTAATTATCTGACTCATAAACTACATTTGCCTAAGCAATGGTCTTGCACTGCTTACTCCCATCTCACTTCAGTTTAAATCCTACATTAGTCTGATGAAGTGAGTTGCAGATTGTAAACATTTATACATTTTAATAACAATTCTTAGCTAAATGTTCCATCTTACCTGTTGTATTTTATATTTTTTCATATAAGGTATAAATTGAAATACAAATCCAGGTAAGCATATTAAAAAAAAGAAAAATTCGTGAGCGAGAAGTGAACCCCAAACTGCAAGCTGGTATTTAGTGTAATTGTCCAGCATATAGGTCCAAGCATTTTTAAACGGTTCCTGTAGTGGATTCTCAGGCAGCAAGGAGTCAATGTATTCTACAGCAAGGTAGGCGGAATGCAGTATCTCAGAACTATTGTTATTCATCATCATTCAGTTCCGGCACAGAACACGGATAGTTTCTTAACGAAGTTTCTACGAATCTGTAAAATATTAAATAGAGAGAACGTGATAAACGGAAAGACTTAAATAAACAGAACAATGTTTATTTATAGTTCTGTATAACAACTCTTCAATCAGCACACACTACACAAACAGGTTTGTGATTGCTAGAACTTAAATTTGCAGATAGGTATGTTTTGAGAGTGGTTTCATCTAGACTCAGCCCATGTACAAATTCCACAAGGCATGAGATTCATAACTGTCCCCTTTCTGAGCCTATGGATAGGATTTGGATTTTGACTATATCAGGTGCCTGTAAAAACACACACACGTAGGAGCCAAACGGTTTTAGATGAGTAATTGTAATGGATTTTTAGATACAGATGGATTTAATTTGATGATGGCTTCACATGAATCCATGATACATTGCCTTGAGTGCCTTAGAGAAAAGTCCAGGACCAAGTTAACCTTATTCAGACGTTTCCTTTATTTTGCCACAACAGGCAACCATTACGAGTAAATCCTATCACCTGTTGGGAAAGTACTTTCCAATGACCACCTCATCTGCACGAAAGAAATCTCCTCTCCCCTGTTTTGTTTCTGATGGAGATGCATTTAGAAATAGGAAAGCGCAAGAAACGACAATGCACTGCAGCTAAATGCAACACACACACATCAATAAAAGGGTGTTAAACACAAACATGCGGGAGGGGGGGGGGGGGCAACTGTCATACTTTCGGGATGTTTGACATGCTAACATACCGAAAGGCGATGAATTCACTTGGAAAGTGCCTCTTTCCTGCATTTCCATCCTCCGTCTGGCGAGAGCCGCTAAATTACTTTGCAAAACC